TTCATGGAAGGCTTCCACCCCTTCCCCCTCCTTGTTCGGCCACTGCCGTGTCATGCGCGGTCCTTTTGTATACTTCCCCTTATGCGCTCACCACAAGCATCCTGCCAAAACGCTTTCTCTCGATGCAAAGATCACGGGCCCGGTACTTATGAATACTTCCGTATAAGTATAAATATGCGCGTATACGTGCCTTGGCATTGTTTCTGTTTTACTACTACTATTACCACTACTTCTAAGTACGTTTGTCCTGTGTACATCAGATTCAGGATACGCGCAGATGACCGAGAACGCAATAGACAGACAGGCGAAAAACCACATGTACCGTAATATTTCCTTTCCCAACCCCAGTCTTGGCGCCTTTCACCGGTGTTTGCGTTAGCGCTTGCGTATTTATGTATGTATGTATAATTTTCTCCGAGTTTTTGCACTTTAAGCGCTACCTTTGTACGTTTTCTTGCTGTATACTTTAAACAGACAAAAAGTTCCACCTTCCACTGCAATCTCCTCACTTTCGCCTTACCGATTAGTTTGTCGTTCGAGTGTGAGGGCTTGTGTGGGGCAGATGCATTTAAATCGTCTGGGTTGTTTGAATGTAGATGCCGTAATGCTGATCCAGGCGCACTACCTAACCTCAGCGAGTTTGCAGAGTAGAGAAATCGCAAAGAGTTAGAAAGCGTTTTCTGTGGGGACGCAGTCCAGCTTCTAGCCATTCAGAATCCGCTCTATGTGTTTTGGCTTTGAGCTAACATGCTCTTTTTGTCAAATACTTGAAACAACTGACTTCCCCTACCTCCAAAATTGCTAGGTAAGCGGGATTTTAATCAAAGCGACTTTTATGTTTAAGATTGCGAGACGCAGCTTGTACACACAGGATCAGTAAATATGGCCGCTGCGAGCAACGACTTTCACCACGGGCCCAACGGAATAGGCGCAGCACCGACGACTAGTGTTTGAATCAGCCTATGGTGGGACAACCTTTCAAGGCGTCTACCACACTCTCTCCTGCTTCACTTCTTTTGATACGATGATAAGAAAAAGTGGAGTTGGGCACAGAGGGTGAAGAACTTAAATATTCCACCTGCGCGTGTCAGCGACAAAACCTCGTCTCGATTATGCATGTACCAGGCGGTTCGGTTCTCAAGTATTTGAAAGTATAATTGAAGTGAGCGGTGACATAACAGCCTGTCTTCCAGTCCGGAGAAGGAGTGAGTTATTCTTTCAGTCAGTCACGTCATGATAGATTCAGGCAAAGACGACTTATATACACCCCCTAAGCAGGGCACGGGAATATATACACCCCGTTTAAGTAACAGAGGTGGTCCAGTATATAGTTCTACAAAGAGTACATATTAACGTTTCCTGCACTTGACAGTAGCCCACACATAGACCATAGTCCTAGTCGTATCCCTACCCTAACCTTCACTCTAAACTTAACCCCAATCTTTACTTTAAAGTTAACCGCAATTTCTAGCAGCATCCGTTTTACTCGCTTTCCTCCTCCTCCTTACGGCATCCGCCTGCAGCACCAGTTCGCCGTTGTGTAAGGAGTTGTTCCTTCCTGAAGATCCAGGCAGCAATTGCAAATTCAAGCTTGTTGAGAAATATTAGTGAGGGTAGAGACAAAAATGCATATATCAGGTTCTTACCACAAAAGGAGAGGGGTAGCTAAGAAGAAATAGATTCGATCGCTGGGACAATAACCTTATTCGCCTGACGTTTTGGTTTCCGTCGCGGATCCATCCTCAGAGACAATAGCTGAAACGGATAGCCCATACACAGGGGTTGCAGCATTTATAAGATACAGTCGCTATGCTACTGCATACCTACGACAGTTAACGGCTCCCCCTCCCCCCCACCATAAAGGATAGTTGTCTACTTGTGCGTCAATTGCTCCATGGCTGGCGTGCGGAACGTGACCTGCTGAAATTTAATCATCAGTGCTGGATTTGGGCGTGATGATTGCTCGACCATCTGGCCACCTGGTGCTCGCATGAGAAGACGCCTCCGTCTGTGCGCTCCCCGAGTGACAAATTGCTTTGGCCAAACTGAGTCTCAGTACTCCCTATACT